TATTCAAGAAATCCAAAAATATTTAGTTATATTTGTTAATATTCAATTAGTTTTGCTAAGTTTAATAAAATTTCATTTAAATGAAACAGTTTTTTATTTTTTTTTTTTTTAATAAAATTTGGATACCCGGAACCGATCCGGAATAGTACTAAAATTTATAGAACTGAAAAACCCGAAATCCGAAAGGAACCGACCCGAACACGATCCGAATAACCGAATGCCCAGGCAGTGCAAATAATTAGAAGATATTAATATAGAGAGAGATACACGTAATCGAATATTCTCCAACGCGTCTGTAGTAGTTTCCGTCGGGCTCTTTTTACTTCGTCTCGAGGGTAATCGATCGCTTCTTCTTCTTCTTCTTCTCCCTCTCTCTCTTCTCGCGAAATCATGAGTATGGAGGCATCGGAGCTACAGGATCTCTCTGACGACGCCGATTACGCTGCATCTCAACAACAGGTTTGCTATTCTGATTTCTGACTTCCTCGTTGCTTTCCATTTCGCAGTTTTTGAACAAGTCAATCGTAATCGCGATGAAAAAAATTCTCCGCCAAGCGAAGTCGTACTCGTTCTCTTTCGTTTGCTCTATTTTGAGTCGATCACCAAGTTAATTTCCCGGTGGATTGATCGTTTTGATTTGCTGATTTGTGCAAGGGATCGGCGAGCATGATGCGGTGCGACAGCGAGAAGAGAAGTTCGTCTAGTGAACACGAAGGCGCCGAATTGATATATTTGAAGGATAATGTTGCAATTCATCCCACACAGTTCGCATCGGAGAGGATTAGTGGGAGATTGAAGTTAACTAAGCAAGACTCTACTCTCTACCTGGTAATCACTGCAATTCTGTTTCCTTCCTTTGTTGAAGTCTTTTCTATTCACCTGCTTTAGATTTCAATGATTTTGTTTGGTTATGATCCAAGAATTAAGAGGATGAATATATTCTGCTTCCATTTTTTTTTATCTGTGTGATGGCTAGTCGTGGACTCCGTACAAGGGACAAACCTCAAATGCAAAGCTATCAGAGAAAGGTAATCAGGACTTTTGAACTTAATTAGTATACTCTATGTTGTGGTGCTGAAGAAAATGGCTTTAACTTTGTTCTTAGTTTCTATTTCTTTTCTAGACAGGAGTCTTTATACCATCACAGCAGTTCCGTTCACGGAAGTGAGGTCCATCAGGCGACACACTCCTGCTCTCGGATGGCAGTATGTGATTGTTGTGCTATCTTCTGGTAAGCAAAGACTTAGGCTGTTGCGTTCGTTGAGATTTATTCATATTGAAAATCTTGAAACACTATTTAGGATTATCAATTGCAGCAACAGTGGGATGTGATTCTCTTTTCTCTTCACAAGTCGATTATCTAAGAAACTGATAATCGTTTGAAATGACCTGCAGGACTTGCATTTCCACCTCTGTACTTCTACAATGGCGGAGTCAGGGAGTTTCTGGCCATGGTGAAGCAGCATGTTTTTCTTGCAAGGTTTGTGTCTGATGTGAAATACCTTCTGTCCCTGGCATATATTGATATGCTTATTTATGGAAAGCATGTCTTCACATCTGCTGGGTTACTATATCAAAGTAGCTTAGGGATGCACAATGTATTGTTACTTTCGGATGGTTTTTATAGCCTTTGTTACTTACTCATAGGCTTTGTGGACGACCTAAGTTTATCATCGTATGGAACTGGATGTGTCGTTACATAGTTATGCCATAAATAATAGAAACTTACATAGTCTTAGCTTTGTATAGGTCGTCAGAAGATGCAAATGTGTTCCTTGTGAATGATTTTCAGAGTCCCTTGCAGGTAATTATATCAAACTATATCATGTTGAGTGGAGTGATGATTTTGGTTTATTGTATGTGCTAATACATTTTATGATTATATCCGACAGAGAACTCTTTCTTCATTGGCGCTGCCAAGTTCACTGCCTGTTGCAAGTGGACAATCTTCATACCCATCAGACGGAGGATCTTCGAGTGAAAATCAAGGGAGAACAAGTGCAGGTGCCGATAACAGAGTTTCCCAGTATGGAGTGAGAAAGCAGAAGAGTCATGATCCTACTCGTGATCTTTCAATTCATCTTCTAGAGAAATTTTCTCTGGTTACTAAGTTTGCTAGAGAAACAACCACTCAGTTGTTTTCTGAAAACAATGGCTTTGGTTCCGTTGACAAGAGATGGAACAACCAACCTGTGCATAATTATCCTGAAAAGTTGTCAAATATTGCTGAGGAAAAACATCATGAAAGTTCTCATAGTTACCCTGAAAAGGAGCCTCTTTATGATGAAGAACCTCCCATTGACCTTGTTGATGTCCCTGCTGATCCCTTAGAGGTGAGGACTATTTTTATTTTACTCCTTTTTTATAAGCATTAGCAAGTTGGTGGAAATTATACCCGTATCTTGTGACCTCCCTGTGTGTCATGATGCAACATCTGGTTTTTTCTTTCATCTTTTAGATACAGAGTGTCATTTATCTTAATTGTGTACTTCTGTTTCATTCAAGGGGTAATGATTTTGCAGGCATGTTAAGCATAGATTTAAACGCTCAGCCTTAGTTGATAATCACTTCTGCATTTTATGTTGATGCTTCACCTTGTATTAGCAATACTGTATAAACATTTTCGTATGGAATGCTTTTCATGCTTCATTAACACCAAGTATCTGGAACTGGTGATTAACTGGCCACTCGTAATGGCACATACGTGTTGAATAGAAAACTTATTATAGATTATGCCCTATGATTCTTCCTCCTTTGCAGTTTAACAAGTTGAGTTTGGTGTGGGGAAAGCCAAGGCAGCCACCAATGGGGCATAAAGAGGTAACCACTTTCGATATCCGCAATTTTCTAATTCTGGAAAGTTCAGAGAAAAAATTCTGTTGGGTGCTTTGTTCCCATTTTTAACTAAATTTCTTACAACTATCACCAAGCATTGTCGTAAAGTGTAAATTATCGACAAAGTAGGTGCACCCTGGTATAAACTAAGCTAATAAGCTTTGCTTCTTTATTTGCCAAGTGTAAACGCATAAGTTTTCTATTTTCTTTTCATCTTCGTCTTGATTCAAACTTTTCTGGTTCTCAGTTCACAGCATTCTTGGATTCTGAAGGGCGAGTTGTGGAATCAAAGGCTCTTCGAGAGAGAGTTTTCTATGGAGGCATTGAGCACCAACTGCGAAGAGAGGTTAACTTTTCAATTTCAGATTATTAAAATTAAAATTTGCGTATCAATATGCAGATTGATTTTCTAACTTAGGATCACCACTACAGGTCTGGCCCTTTCTCTTGGGATATTATGCATTCGACTCGACATACGCGGAGAGAGAGTACCTTCGAGCTGTCAAAAAAATGGAATATGCAACATTGAAACAGCAGTGGCAGGTTTGTTTATCAGTATATATCACACATCTTCTAAATTCCTTAATTACCTGTGTGTTCCTTGTCCCAGTGGTGTCAAATGAAACTGTGAGGCGTTTTTAGAGTAGCTAATTTCCCTTATATTTGCTTGCACTATTAACAAGTGTATGTTCTTTCTGACAGAGCATCTCCCCTGAACAAGCAAAAAGGTTCACCAAATATCGGGAGAGGAAGGGGCTGATAGATAAAGATGTGGTAAGAAGATTTTGACAATATTGACTGATGTGGTTTGCCCTAATCATCGAACTCCTATTGAGATAAATTCCTGGTTTATTTCTTCTTGTGTAGGTAAGAACTGATAGGGCATTTGAATACTATGAAGGCGATGACAATCTGAATGTCAATATCATGCGTGATATTCTGTTGACCTACTCCTTCTACAATTTTGATCTAGGTTACTGCCAGGTACTTTCATCAATTTTCGAACTTCACTCTTAATACTGAATTATAAGTTGGGCGTGTCCTTGCTGTATCTTTCCATAGTTTTGTGTGTGTGTTGTGTGGCTTCACTGACAAATGTTTTTTTCTGGTTGTTAGGGAATGAGTGATTATCTGTCTCCTATCATGTTCGTGATGGAGGATGAATCAGAATCCTTTTGGTGTTTTGTGGCACTGATGGAACGCGTTGGTCCCAACTTTAACCGTGACCAAAATGGGATGCATACTCAGCTCTTTGCTCTCTCAAAGGTCCATAATTTTGTCCTCTACAAGTTAACATTTTGCATTTCTTACTTTCTATCGGCATTTCAGAATCAATGTTTGGATCTGTATCTGTATCCTTTTCATTTTCAATCCCACAGCTGGTGGAGTTACTCGATGGCCCGCTGCACAATTACTTTAAGCAGAATGACTGCTTGAATTACTTCTTCTGTTTCCGCTGGATCCTGATACAGTTTAAAAGGTTTGTTTCTTCTTCTCTGTTTTTAAAAAATACCTGAAATGCAGTTCCTTCTTTTCTGATTATGGTGGGAATTGTGTATCAGGGAATTTGAGTACGAGAAGACAATGCAGCTGTGGGAGGTGCTATGGACACACTACCTCTCGGAACACCTTCACCTATACGTTTGCGTGGCGATCTTGAAGCGATGCCGCAGCAAGATAATGGGAGAGCAGATGGACTTTGACACTCTCTTAAAGTTCATCAATGAACTGTCTGGGCATATCGACCTCGACTCGACAGTCAGAGACGCCGAAGCGCTTTGCATATGTGCTGGTGAGAACGGTGCTGCTAGCATCCCTCCAGGAACTCCTCCTTCGTTACCCCTTGACGACGGTATCTTGTATCCTCAGGACGATGATGTTTTGTAAGTAATACAACTATATCCTTTTTCTGGAGAACATGTTACCAAAATTTGGATTGCTTTTACGGAGAGTGATTAGATCAATGGACATATGCGTTTTCTTGTTTTTTTTTTTACTTAATACTCTGTAGTATAGATATTGTGCTTCAGTTTATGAAAAGGTAAGAAGAGGATCCTCAACGAATCATGACTTGTTACAATTCAATGTTTAATTGTATAACTAAAAGCAATTTGATTCGTAAAGTCTTCAAGAATTTATCCTTAGAGGTAAATACCAGAAAAGTCTTAAAGCAGGGGAAAGAAATCGGTGAAGGCAAAACATGGGTCATAGACAAGAGTGTCTGGGTAGTGAGAAACGAGAGGCAGTGGAGATCCTATGTAGCCAAAGCGGTTTGTCTCCTCCTCCATCCAGGTATTGTCCTTGTGTTCTTCTCCGTAGTCGTCGATGCCTTCTCCATGGCTTCTTCTCACTTCTGTAGACATTACTGGCTTATCGGCGGCGGAGGCATCGACTGACTCAGGTGTATTCTGTTTCCTGGTGATGGGTTTCTTGTTCAAATGAGTATTCCAGTAGTTCTTGATTTCGTTATCAGTGCGACCTGGAAGACGACCCGCGATCAACGACCATCTATATTAGAGGAAAACAGAAAAAAGGAGTTAAAACTTTTGAGAGAGTATTGATGAGATTGAAGAGTGAATGGTAAAAACGAGGGAGGAAAGACCGGTTTCCGAGAAGCTTGTGCATGCGGATGATGAGGTCTTGTTCTTGAGGTGACATGGATCCTCTTTTAATATTTGGTCTTAGATAGTTCTTCCATCTCAGCCTACAGCTTTTCCCTCCTCTCTTCAATCCTGAAACATCATCAAAAAGCAGAAACACAAATCTCCTTATTTCCCCAAAACTCCAACTTTCTGTGTTTTTACGAGTAAATGAAACAGTTGGGTTCAGACCGGATCGACGAGAGATGTCTGCCCAGTTTCCTTCTCCATGAGTCTCGATGTAGCTTCTCAATATCATGTCTTCTTCAGGTTTCCACAACCCTCTTCTCACAACATGAGACTTCTTCTTCCCTTCCTCTTCTTCTTTCTCCATTCTTGTTTCCTTTCTCTTCTTTGCCTCCACAGTTTTGTTAGTGAGCCGTGTTTGTTTTTTTTTTCTTTCTAATATGCGCGTAAAGTGCGAGAGGTTTCCAACTTTAACTCTTACATGTGGGGATATCTAACAAAATTATTGAATGGGAAAAGAGTACTTTTTTCAAACAGTAAATTTACTGTAAATTCGTGCAAACTATAGCTGTAAAAGCTCTGCTTACTTGTTTTTATTCTCGGTATTGTTTCAAATTATTGGAGCTTTTGGGAAAACATATAAGCCAAGGCAGATCAGAGGTTGGAGATTGCCATCAACCTCGGTACCTGCGTAACTCCGTTACCACCACTTAGTCTCTTTCTTCATCACAGTGCTGTTTTATTCCCTTTCTCTGCCCAAAAATATACCAATACCAACACCAACCCCATTCCTTGATCAATTTGGGAACACTTGCATTAAAGTATCACTCCACCATGTTCAAGACTGTTTTATACAATATAAGCCAATGATGGCCCGTTTTTTCTTATAGGTTTCTGTTTCTGTTTCAACAGACTTGGAGAGAATCTGAATACCTCACAAAATACAACTTGTGCTTTTACATTTCTTGCACTTCAATAGTTGTTTATCTCTCAGAAAGGTAAATGAGGTGCAGTTTCAATGCTTTGCTCAAAGTAGTTGTTCGGACGTGCATTCCTAAGACTCGAGCATAATAGCATATAGATAACAAATTTAAAATTTAAAATCCAACATCCAAAATATATATTCAACATCTATATTATTATTATTTGTGACGTGATTTTGGAGAATGAAACTCTTTCATTCACTCGTATATAAGAAAAGTCTAAATTACCATTAATGATTTTTTTTTTCCTATTTGTAAAATTACAAATAATACTTTTTGACATATCACGATCTAAACTAACAATATGATGTCACTCACATAGCGAGTCATAAAAACTAACGTGTCAACGCAAACTAATATTGACATCGCCTGAATCTTCCCTTAAAGGATAAGATTTTTTTTCTTAAAACAGATAATTATCTTCCCTTTTTTGGTTGTTTGAAAAGAATAAATATATTTCCATATTTCATAATTATTAATAACCTTTGAATCAAATATACTGCCTCTGAAAATCAAAACATTATAAACTGGAGATGCAATAGATTCATATTTTTATCATTCACCATGAAGCATCATTACTTCATAACTTTCATCACCAATCTCCACAGAAACACTAACAATGTCGACGAAGAAGATTATTCTGAAAAGCTCAGACAGTGAGATCTTCGAGGTTGAAGAAGTGGTGGCTCTTCAGTTGCAGCTCACATGATCGAAAACAACTACGTCGAAAATGGAATCTCTCTCGCCAACATCACAAGAGATATCTTCTCCAAAGTGATCGAGTATTGCAAGAAACACGGCGTCGTTGTCCTCAATGGTGATGGTGGTTCGACTGAAGAGGAGCTCAAGGAGTGGGACACAAATTTTATGAATGATATTGATCAGTCGACTCTCTTTATGGCTGCTAATTATCTAAACATCCAGAATCTTCTTACTCTTACTTGCTTGAGTGTCGCCGATATGATCAAATGCAGAACTCCATAAGAGATTCGCACACTTTTCAACATAGAGAACGATTTCACACTCGAAGAAGAAGCAAATGTGCACCAAGAAAACATATGGATTTTTGATCATCATCATTTTGGATGATTTATTTCATGATTATACATTTTTGTCTTCACACCTTCGTGCTTTTAAAAATAAGATTATCATAAGAAATCATTTTTTTTGGCTTACTTGTTCTATTTAAATTTTAAACATCTGTTATTATTAACTTTGATAAGACTTAACATATTCGTCGAAATATAACCAAATCTATAAAGTAATATGTTGACGATAACAAAATTAGTTTAATTACTTGAAATAAATTACCTACATAATGATCAATGTGCTTAAAAAGGTGTTTTTTCTTTTTTGACCAAACTTATTAAAAATAAAAAGTAGCAAAGCGGAGGAAGCCAAAAACAGAGACGATAATTGTGTTGCTCTGTTTACATCACTCAACTTGAAGCATATTCTTCTTCTCAAAATGTCTCTTCCTCGTATAACCTTCAAATTATTATAACTGCTAGCATGTTTCTAATTTTGCCCTGCTTATATTTTGTTTTTCGTGGAAAAGTATTTAAAATAAGTTATAAAGGACTAAATTTCAACTAAAAATAAATATCCTAATATATTTATAGTATTTCTGTGTTAATGTATTTTTGATTTGATATACAATACTTGGTTTTAAGATGATAAGTGAGAATAGTTATACTTTAATGTCTAATAATAATCATTGTTTGATTTGTTCTTTACAAGCATATTAATATTGATTCAAACAAAATCAGATTATAAAACATGATTTCACCTCTAAATAAATCAATTTTTAACAAAAATATCACCTAGTTAACAAAAAATATATAAAGATACTTACTTGAGTGATCTATACATCTACATTTTCCTGTTTTTATTTTTTGTAGAGATGAACGGAGCTCAACAAGAACATAAAAGGCAAGGTAAAATTCGGAGATAGATCTTGCACTGAAATAGGAGGGAAAGATTCAATCTTCAAAGCAATACAAATGAAGGAACATAAACTTGTTACCGATATCTACTATATTCCCGAACTGAAGAGCAATATCCTAAGTTTAGGACAAGCTACAAAGGTTGGGTGTGATGTCAGGATGAGACAAGACTTGTTAACAGTCCATGATCCAAGTGGAAAACTCCTAGTAAAGGTCACATGATCATCCAATAGACTCTACAAAATAAATCTAAAGACAGGAAAGCCATGTCTACACACGAGCATAGAAGATGATTCTTGGAAGTGGCACGCGCGCAAGGCTAGGAAATCGAAGTTTTAAAGTAATCAGAGCTATGTCAAAGCAAGAGATGGTCCATGGATCACGAGAATTTAAAGAAGAAAACAGATAAGTCTTGTTTGGTCGGAAAAAAAACTCGGCAATCGTTTCCAACGGCAACGGAGTACAAACTATCATTCTCTCATCGAGAAAAGAACTATACGCTCATTTTTATTCTAGACGATTTTTTTGTACTTCGACTTGATTTTCTTTTGTTTTTCCTAGAAAAGTCATTCGCTTTGGTAGTTATCTTTTAACTGAAAATAGCTACAGAAAAATAGCAAGGTCCATCCGGTAAATTATTTATTTCTGACATGTTGGAAACTAAACTTTTGTTACTGTATTTTCGACTTTCTTTTTTTGTTTCCAACCAACTCACGAGAATCCGTCGTTTTAACATCATAAATTCCTCGGAAAACATTCTACTAGCTAGTGTTGTTCTTAGCATCCACCTTTTTTTCTCCCATCAAAATTTGTAGAACAAAACTTAGTTTCACGTCAGTTAGCAAAATTGCTATTGTTACTGACTTGATATAAAATATCACGCGTGAACACTATTACGCACTAGTCCAAGTATTTGGAAGTGCATTACTACGAATTAACTCTTAGTGTATGTAACACGTCTCGAATGGCAATTTTTTCACATCATTCTCGCCTAGCTAACTATTAGAACCTGGTGAAGTGGTGATAATATAATGCCAAAATAAAACCTCGTAACCACAAAAATCCTTGCAGTTGGTCAAACAGCTAATTACTTTAATTATGAAAAAAATTCTCATTATTGTGTAATTAAGAATAATTGCCTAGGCAAAGTCCAGCTAATTGCAATCTCTATTTAAGATAACACCAGTACATGATGCTTAATTGCTTATGAACATGTATTTGACTTGCTGTACCTAATTCTTAAGAATAAGTTAATAAGTATTTAAAGAATGTAAGAGCTAGACATAACATAGAGCTAGTGTAATAAACAAATAAATTTATCGATTTGATTCGATCTCTAAGTTTTTTAAATAGAGATTGCAATATCGACCAAATATTTAAGAAAGAATTAACCCCAGTGTTTAATATAGAATGTTCTGAAAATATTTAACAAGGGATTGATGAAAAATTAAAATACTTTTATCCTCTGTCCACATGCGCACAATCTCGCTCTCTCTCATCATCATTCAACCGAATTATATTCTTTGGCCGGATTTTAAATTACGTAAAATGTACCGATGAAAATGATTCATCGATCCCAACACGGGAAACGAAGACAACGGAATTGTATATGGTTGCAATTAGCTAACTTGACAATAATTCTACCGTTGGAGACCGGCGGTAAAAGCGACAGATTCGAGGTTGAAAGAAAGCTTTGGACTGTTAAAATAAAATAGTATGTTAGAATTTGTTTCTTAAATAAATAACATGTCAAATAAAAGGGTGATATTATTTATTTTCAAAACCACCAAATTATAAGTGTTAGTTGTGTTTATTTAATACTCCCTCGTTTCAAATAACTTGTCGTTCTGGACTTATTTTTTTATTTCATTTTACTTGTCGTTTTGCATTTTTAGTGTATATTTATAATATATTTTTTGTTTTATCCTTATTCTTTTTCCTTATTAACAAGTTATATTAAACAAAACAATGAATTAAATAGGGGTAAAACAATAAATCTAGCTAGTTTTTTAATCTATGCGAAAATCTTCAGAATGACATATAATTATGAAACCACTTAGAACTTGGTTGACCATTTCATGATTTTATTCGACATATTATTTATTTAAAAAGCGAAATCATAATACACTATATTCACATGTATCAAAAACTATGAAATTTTGTGAAGTTTAAAAAAGGTTATGTTTTAGTCAATTATTCTTCAGCGAATGATTGCAAGAGAAGTACTCAAACTCTATAAAACATATACAACAAAACGCTAGGAAACTTAAAATCAAGTACAAGAGGCTCATACTTGGTCTTATTGTGTAAAGCGCATGAAACCAATAGACTGTCTTTTTAGTTCCAAATATATATCACAAAGCAAACACGATCTTACACTATTATGGGTTTTCATATATTCCCTATTATTCTCGTTGCAATTTTCATCGTCTGTGGCTCGTGTTATTCCGATAAAGGTACACATCGTATGTGTGTGTCATTTCATTATGTGATGGTATGTTAAAGTTTGGGTTATTGTATTGGCAATTCACTGTTTATTCATGTGTGTGAAGCTGGGCACTATACGTTTATGAAAGATGCAACGTTTGCACCAAAACTGTCCCGTGTCGACTACATAATCATCGGAGGAGGAACCTCAGGGTGTGCACTAGCCGCAACGCTTTCGAAAAACGCCAGCGTTTTGGTGCTGGAACGCGGCGGCTCTCCATACGACAACCCAACGGCCACGGACATAGGAAACTTTGCCAACACAATCTTAAACAACACACCCAACTCGTGGGCACAGCATTTCATCTCCGAGGACGGCGTTCACAACGTACGGCCACGCGTCCTCGGTGGAGGCTCGGTGCTAAACGCCGGGTTCTACTCACGTGCGAGCGATGAGTACGTGGAGGAAGCTGAGTGGGAGAGGCAGGAAGTGGAAGATGCTTACGAGTGGGTCGAGAGGAAACTTGCGTTCGAGCCACAAGTAATGGGATGGCAACGTGCCTTAAAAGATGGGCTTTTGGAGGCTGATGTGTTACCGAACAACGGTTTCACGTTCGATCACATAGTAGGGACGAAGATTGGCGGTACTATATTTGACCGTGCCGGTCATAGACACTCGGCGGCGAATCTATTAGAGTATGCTAATCGGAATAATATTGTTGTATACTTGCATGCTTCTGTCCATAAGATCCTCTTCACCACCACAGCCACAGGTATATAGATGCACATTCATAATTTTCAAAAATCAAATGAGCATTCTAAAAAGCTTTCGGTGATTGTTGCATGCAAACATAGAATCTTTTTTCTTTTTGTGTACTTATTAAATATTTTTTCTTTTTCAAAAACAAGAAAGATTAATAAATCTAATAAAATGACATCAATTTGAAAAAAATAGGTAGCCAGAGACCAAAGGCGTACGGAATAACATTTCAAGATGCGAATGGAATGTTCCACAAGGTAGAACTAGCAGATAACCCAATGAATGAAGTAATCTTATCAGCTGGAGCCATGGGTAGCCCACAACAACTTATGTTGAGCGGCGTGGGTCCTAAGGCTCATCTCGTGGCTCACAGGGTCAAACCGCTAGTCTTAGATCTTCCAATGGTTGGGCAAGGAATGTGTGACAATCCCATGAACCCCGTCTTTGTTCCTTCTCCTACACCTGTGGAAGTGTCACTCGTGCAAGCTGTTGGAATCACAAAGTTTGATAGTTACATTGAAGGTATAAGTACTTTGAATGTTTCTATTTATCTAACCCGTAGGTTTTTCCAAGGTGTTTCGGATCTTCTCAAAAAGGTAAATAATTCAATACACTAACCTTTTCTCTCCCTTTTTTTTTATTAAATAATAGAAGTTTACTAAAAAATGTGGCCATTCGATAAAAGTAAGATGTAACCAAAAGAGTACAATTACTAGTAGAGTACCCGCACGTTTGTGCGGTGTGACGTTGTTGTTTTGTGTAGAAAATTTAAACCCTAAATCCGAACCCGACAAAAAACCCTAATCAAAAAATTTAAAAACCCAAACTTTTTTAATAGGTCTAAACATGAAAATCCGAAATCAAAAAAATCCCGAAAACCCTGACTGAACAAAAAAAATCTGGAAACTTTTTCACCCGGAACCCGACCCCAATACCTAATCAAAATTTTAAAATACTCAATTTTTTTAATATATCTAAACCCGAAAACCAGAAATCTAAAAAATCCGGAAAACCCTAAACTGAAAAAAAAAATTGAACCTAACCCGAACAGAAATTTTCAAAGAAACCCGAACAATATTCTATATATATCTCTATAAAATTATGTCTCAGATTTTCACCCAAACCCGAACTTGTCTATAAAAACCCGAAAATCCAAAAAGCATATTCTATTGATTTGGAATTATCGTTAGATTATGTTAAGTTTTTTTTTTGCAGATTTTTAAGAGATGGAAAACGGAAGTTTTCTAAACCATCGGTTTATTTTAAGTTATTATTCTTGTATCCAAACAATTTTTTCCATTTATTCTTCTATCCAAATAGATTTTTCTCTTATTCTTATATCCAAACAACTTTTGTTTCCATTTATTCTTCTATCCAAATAGATGTTTCTCTAATTCTTGTATCCAAACATTAGAATGTACTTCTCAATTAATAATATAAAGATACATATGAGAATCTTAACATTCATACCAAAAAAAAACTATACATATGAGACTACTATACGTTTTTTTTTTTTTTTTTTTTTTTTTTTTTTTTTTGTGATCAACGAGACTACTATACGTTATTATTATTTTTCTCATGAAGCGTTATGAGACTAATAATTAATAAACCGTTTCGCAGACAAGTGGTACTACATCAACAACATTCACGACCCAATCCATCGATAACCTTTTGAAATCCATGGATCGTGGAATCAACGTGAGGTTAAATGCGGGTTTAATTTTCCAAAAAGTCGCACGTCCGGCCTCAAGAGGTCACATGGAGCTACGGAACACAAACCCTAACGATAACCCTTACGTGACATTCAACTATTACCAAGAAACAGAGGATTTGAACAAGTGTGTTGAAGGACTTGAAACCGTTATTAAAGTGATAAACTCAAAGGCCTTCAGCAAGTACAAGTTCCCAGGTGTGACCGCACGTGAGCTGTTTGGTTTCATGGTGGGCCTTCCCACTAATCTGAGACCAAGACATGCAATGTCGAGGTTTAGCTTAAAGCAGTTTTGCATCGACACTGTGATGACGATTTGGCATTACCATGGAGGTTGTCAAGTTGGACGAGTGGTCGACAAGGACTACAAAGTCTTAGGTATTGATTCTTTGAGGGTTATCGATGGATCCACGTTTCTTAAGTCTCCTGGAACTAATCCTCAAGCTACCGTCATGATGCTTGGAAGGTACGTAACCGCAAAAAATGAAATGATCAAATGATTTATTATAATTAACATGCTAAATATTTACTAAAATATATTCTTGGAATGTGTAGGTACATGGGAAAGAAGATTCTTCAAGAAAGGGCAGATTTTCAAGGAAATTAGGAAGCAGCATGAGCTTTGAATGGAGATATGCTCAAAAGTATGTTATTTATTTCAATTTCGGGTTCCGTTCAATTTATCTTCGGTACAGTCTTATGTATACCAGCACCCTGTTTGGGTCATTACAATAATATTTTTTTTTTTTAAGGTTGTTATTGATATAAATAAACTGAATATGTACCACTATATATTGATATAGTGGATTGATTAATAAAAGAAGAAGAAGGTGTAGAGAGAGAGAGTTACTATGTATGTGAGGAGAGGTGTGAGAGTTATGGAGAGAAGAAGAGTGAATGTGTTTCATATATTGAACTTGTTCGTATTGTACATGTCTCAACATCATTACATGACCTCTATTTATAGGGTAAAAGATGAGAGTAAGTCGGCTAAGAGAGACGGTGGAGAGTAAACTTATAAGTTAAGTAAATATTAAAATATGTTATAGGATAATCACTATCCTTTTAACACTCCCCCTTGATTATCCGCCAATGTATTATGTACGGTCTCGTTAAAAAAATCTATGTCATAGAAAAACTCAATGGGATAAAAATTATGACTTAGGAAAAAGAGTACCGTAGCATAATCTTTTCCTGGAAAAGATAGAATATTTTCTTTTCACAAGTTTTGTAGACGATTTCTTAATGAATACGCAAGGGCATATCGCATTGTTGACGTAACCTTTACTCAACAAATATTCACTTAAGCGATTATACCACATGCGTCCGGACTGTTTTAGTCCATAAAGTGATCGCTGTAATCTGACCGAACAGATCTCTTTAGCCTTTGATTTCAAATCCTCAGGCATTTTTAATCCTTCTGGGATTTTCATATATATCTCATTTTCAAGAGATCCATATAGATATGCTGTCACAACATCCATGAGATACATTTCAAGATTTTGAGACGCTGCTAAGCTCATCAAAAATCTGAATGTTATGGCATCCATTACCGGGGAATATGTTTCTTCATAATCAATTCCCGGTCTTTGAGAAAAACCTTGAGCCACAAGTCGGGCTTTATATCTTGTGACCTCATTTTTCTCATTTCTTTTTCTTACAAAAACCCATTTGTGCCCGACGGGTTTTGTATTCTCAGGAGTTGTGACAATAGGTCCAAAAACACTTCTTTTATTGAGGGAGAGTAATTCAGCTTGGATGGCCATTTTCCATTTCTCCCAATCAGGTCTTTTCAGACACTCTGATATTGTTTCTGGATCTGGATCATCACTTTCATGATCAATTCTTTGTATACAGAAAAAGAGAATATTCCATCATCATCTTCTATTTCATTTCTTGTCCATACTTTTCCATTTTGGGCGAAGTTGATGGAAATCTCAAATTTTTCTGTATCATGTTCGTCTTCTGGACGAATCTCTTTCTCTGGTTCTTCAAAAACCAGTTTGTTTATGTCTTCAGGACATATTTCTTTACAAGGTTCTTCTTGAACCTTTTCTCCCAAATTCTTTTTCTTTCGGGGATTTTTATCTTTAGAGCCCATCGGCCTCCCCCTCTTTAATTGGACTTTGGGTGCATTTGCTATGCTTCCATCATTTTGTTCCTTAGGAACATCTATCTTTGATGGAACGTTTGCAGCGGGTATATATGATTTCGTCACTCTTTTTGTATCTGTGAACGAATCTGGTAATTGATTTGCCATATTTTGTAAATGTATAATTTTCTGAACTTCCAATTCGCGTTGTTTTGTCGGGGGATCAAAGTGTAACAAATTCGGTGTACACCATGTGAGGTCTTTTGGAACCTCTTTAATTCCTCCCCCTAACGCTGGAAATTCATCTTCATTAAAATGGCAATCGGCAAAACGTGCCGTAAACATATCACCAGTTTGAGGTTCAAGATACCGAATAATACTCGGTGACGTATACCCAACGTATATTCCCAATCTCCTTTGTGGCCCCATTTTTGTTCTTTGTGGCGGTGCTATCGGAACATAAACCGCACAACCAAAAACACGGAGATGGGATACGTTTGGCTCCTGACCAGATGCTAATTGTAATGGGGAATATATATTATAAGCACTTGGTCGTATTTGGAGCAACGCTGCAGCATGCAAAATAGCATGACCCCATATTGAAATTGGGAGTTTTGTTCTCATTATTAACGGTCTTGCAATCAGTTGCAACCGTTTAATCAAAGACTCAGCCATGCCATTTTGTGTATGGACATGTGGAACCGGATGCTCAACATCGATTCCCAATGACATGCAATAGTCATTAAAGGCTTGTGAAGTGAATTCACCAGCGTTATCTAATCTCACTTTCTTAATAGTATAATCAGGGAATTGTGCTCTCAACCTGATTATTTGGGCAATGAATCTTGCGAAAGCCGTATTTCGTGTTGTCAAAAGACACACATGTGACCATCTACTTGATGCGTCAATTAATACCATAAAGTATTGAAACGGTCCGCATGGTGGGTGAATAGGCCCACATATATCACCGTGTATTCTCTCTAAGAACACAGGGATTCATTCCCAACTTTCGCTGGTGATGGCCGAGTTATGAGTTTTCCTTGAGAACATGCATTACATATGAACTCGCCCGTTTCTAAATTTTCCCGTATTTCAACGGATGGCCATTTGAGTTTTGCACAATTTTTCTCATCATGACTGAACCTGGATGCCCTAGCCTTTCATGCCAGATTTTGAATGTACTAGTAAACTTCGGGTTTACTGTAACATATGATTCAGTCAGAGTAATATTTGTGCAATATAATCCGGAGGACAACATTTTCAATTCTTCCAATATTTGTCCCTCCGATTTGATGCAAAGGATTTCAATGCCATTCTTATTTATAGTCTCTATGTGATACCCATTTTTACGGATATCTTGAAACTTAATAAGTTTCTGTAAGACTTCGGGGAATATAATGCATCATTTATTTCAAACTTTGTTCCCCTTGGCATTGAAAAATTGGCTCTTCCAGAGCCCAATATTATTTTTGCACCACCAGAAATGGTATTCACGCTTTCAACGGAATCTTTAATTTTGAGACCGGAGAAATATCTTTTATCTTTGAGTATTGTGTGCGTTGTAGCACTGTCTGCAAGACACATATCTCCATCACGAGTCTCAAATTTCGTCATTTCTGGATTTAACAAAGATGCATTAATAAGTATTAAACAATACAAAGCTTATATCACAAGATACAAAATACCACATTAAAAACTATTTTACAACAAAAAGATCAAACTTTTAGGTTATCTTATTCAGGAAGATAACTATGTATATCATGTCCTTTTAGTCGTCTGTTTTTCCGTTGATCTCTTCGGAGTCAACCAGAAAATCTGAAACATCAAGATGAGTATCATCGTTTAGGCCGTGAAAGGAAGGACCGGGTTCATTGGAGATGAAGTTAGTCTCACTTTCTTTCTCCTTTGCTTTTTGTGATTCCCGGTATAGATCGGCTAAGTGTCTGGGTGTACGACAAGTACGCTCCCAGTGATTTTTCATGCCGCATCTGTAGCAAACACTTTCTTTTTGCTTTTTAGAATCTCGGCCGTAATCATTTGCTCGAGATCTTTTATATTCCTTTCATTGTTGGACTCGTCGGGACGGTACTCTTTTCCTTGTCCCCGACCACGTCCACGGCCACGGCCACGACCTCGGTTTCGACCGTATCCACGTCCACGTCCTCGTCCATTATTTTGGCTGGACGATGCTACATTCGCTTCTGGGAATGGAGCAGCTCCAGTGGGACGAGTCTGATGGTTCATCATCACAAGCTCGTTATTCTGTTCTGCAACAAGGAGAACTTCCATTCAATTTTGAATAACGAGTATAGCCATTTGCCCGATATTGTTGTTGCAGGACTATATTTCCAGGGTGAAATGTGGAGAGCGTTTTTTCAATCATATCATAATCGCTCACATTTTCTCCACATAGCACCATTTGGAAATTATTCTGAACATAGCAGAATTATATTCAACAACACTTTTATAGTCCTGAAACCGGAGGTATAGCCACTGGTATTTGGCTTTGGGCAAATCTATATATTTTTGATGGTCAAATCTTTCTTTCAAAGATTGCCAAAGATCCGCAGGATCTTCTTTAGTGATGTATTCATCTTTTAAACCATCGTGGATGTGATGAAGTAGAAAGATCATGGCTTTCGCCTTTTTCTCATCGGATGTTCTTTCGACTTGTCAATGGCATCAAGAAGCCCATTTCCTTTTAGATGCATTTTTGCACCTATTGCCCATGTCATATAATTGTTTCCAGAAATATCAAGGGCGGAAATTTCGAGCTTAGCCAAATTTGACATGATATCTGCATAGATCATATCATTCATTAAATATAAATTCAAATTCAAATTTGCAATAAAAATTTGAGCATTATAACAGCATAAATTTAGCAGAAATTTAGATGAAAGTAAATAGCGAAAAAGTAAATTACAGAAAAGTAAATATTCAGAAGAGGCAAAGCCTCTACTCCAAGAGGAGGTTTCACCATCAACTCTTATATGATCTAAGGTGACATAGTCTACCATATGATCATTTGCTCGGAGTAGGTACAACCTAGCATCCCGGCTTAAGAAATGATTTTTCGATTGTGGAGACAAAGTCTACCATAACAATCGGCTCGGAGAAGGCATAGCCTACCATCCCGGCATAGCATATAAACAATAAAATAATAGACAGAATATAAGAGCAGTTCGTGCTGATAACGTGATATAAATAAACTAAATGTACCACTATATATTGATATAGTGGATTGATTAATAAAAGAAGAAGAAGGTGTAGAGAGAGAGAGAGTTACTATGTATGTGAGGAGAGGTGTGAGAGTTATGGAGAGAAGAAGAGTGAATGTGTTTCATATATTGAACTTGTTCGTATTGTACATGTCTCAACATCATTACATGATCTCTATTTTTTTTTTGAACAACTTTTCATTAAAACTAAACTCAAACGATTACAGTAGCAGCAGCAAATAGACTCTTTGCCAAAGAGTAGAAATTACTTGTTGCAGAAATGAAAGACAAAGCATTAGAAGGATAAGTTATGCAATTTGAGTCATAGAAACAAATTGGAAGCTTCTTTGAAAGAGCTTCTAAGAAGATCGTTCTGAGAGCGATCTGAAGTTGTTCTGTACCATTAAAGACGAATGAACAACACTAGTAGCTCGTGCTGAGCGTTTGAAGACTGTCTCCTTTGAGGAGAGGAGCAAGTTCGGAGTTACACCAATAAACTGGCAATACTCTAGAACCGCAGATGATGTCTCGGCATTTGATCCGGTAGATATGACATTAGACGAGCGAATGTGTCGACCACTAAACAAGCATATGAGATTGAAGCAGCTTGAGTGGGAAAAGATGAGCAATCGGGAGAGGAGGCCGAAGCACCTTGCTGGACTCTCTTTTCGGATTTGACAATAGTTGTTAAAAACTATGAAACCCAAATTGGCGATGTCGGATAATATCCCAAGAGATGATCCGGTCGGTACCGTAGATTCATCAAGGAAGGAGGTTGATAAGCTGAGCTTCCCAAAAACGGCTTTTGATCTTGTGAGATTTGACTTTTTGAGCACTTGTTTTGGATTGGGAGAATGGTCTTCGAGGTTTTGAAGGAACCCATTCTCGGGAGCAATTGGAGAGGCATGACGATGGAGGAGCGGAAGAGGTTTTCCGGCGAGACGAGGGGATGACAATGAGAGGGGGTCGGCGCTAGTAAGCTTGGCAGAGGCTGAGAGAGAGAAACATTTTCTTGAGGCTTTGGCCGATGGGAGAGAGGCTTCAAACGGTGGAGTAGGGGATAGATCCAAAGGTTGAGGTAAGGAGACTAGATCTGGTAGCAGAGATCCACGGAGGTCAGGCGGGTCGGGATCCGGTGGATCTGGCGGATCCGGCGGCTCTAGGGGATGGAGAGGCCTAGACTGCATCGGATTGAGGAGGAGATGGCGGCGAGAGCTAGACGGCGCTCGATCAGACGGCTCCGGTGGAGAGGAAAGACAGATCTGGAAACCCGTCGTCAAAGGCGCCACAATAACCATCTCTTCAGTCCTCCGGAGAGAGAAGGAGGCCGTTAGAACTCGCCGGAAAATGGAGGGTTCTGCAGTTGGTGACATCTTGAAACAAGGAGGAAACTCGTCGGAAAAGCGGTTCGACGAGGGGAGAAGCAAACTCCGGCTAGTCGGGGGAGACCAGTCAGAGAAGTGACTTCAGGGGAGCAACGAACCTACGGAAGGGTGACGACGACGCAAATCTCATTCTAAAGGGAGAAGATGAAGTGCGGCGGCGGCCTCGTATTTCGTGCTACATGACCTCTATTTATAGGGTAAAAGATGAGAGTAAGTCGGCTAAGAGAGACGGTGGAGAGTAAACTTATAAGTTAATATTAAAATATGTTATAGAATAATCACTATCCTTTTAACAGTTATTTGATTGTTGCTTGTATTCTTTTTTGGACCTAAAAACAAATATATAAGGCTGCAATTATAAATAAACTTGAAACCAGAGCCCCTACTTGAAAGTTTCTTAAAATGGGCCAATCTAATTAATGGGTCATATTCCAAATTTACGCATGAGAGATGATAAACCAATAGAGATCGTTTCTCAATTCTGTCACCGAGCATGATCGATTCTTCCGCTTTCTTCGTCGTCCCATGCCACAATTACCATCGAATTGTCGAGCTTCTTCTTTCTTCAGCTCGCTCTAAATCGACTCCTAAAGGACTTCAGCTCCATGGCTACATCCTCAAATCAGGACTCTTCCTCATCCCTCTCGTCTCCAACAACCTCATCAACTTCTACTCCAAATCCCAGCTCCCGCTCGATTCTCGCCGAGCTTTCGAAGATTCCCCGGAAAAGAGCGCCACGACGTGGAGCTCCATCATCTCCTGCTTCGCCCAGAACGAGCTTCCGTCGATGTCCCTCCAGTTTCTCAACAAAATGATGGCCGGAAACCTCCGTCCCGATCACCACGTCCTCCCGTCGGCAACAAAGTCGTGCGGGATCTTAAGCCGTTGCGATATCGGAAGATCGGTGCACTGTCTCTCGATGAAGACCGGGTACGACGCTGACGTGTTCGTCGGAAGCTCTCTCGTCGACATGTACGCGAAATGCGGAGACATCGTTCACGCGAGAAAAGTGTTCGACGAAATGCCTGAGAGAAACATCGTCACTTGGAGCGGGATGATGTATGGGTATACTCAAATCGGCGAAAACGAAGAAGCTTTGTGGCTCTTTAAACAAGCACTGCTCGAGAATCTCGACGTGAACGATTTCTCCTTCTCCACAGTCCTCAGCGCCTGCGCAAATTCGACTCTCCTCGAATTAGGCAGACAGATTCAGGGACTCTGCGTTAAATCCAGCTTCGGCTCTTCCAGCTTCGTGGGAAGCTCCTTAGTCTCGCTGTATTCGAAATGCGGCGTTCTCGAAGAAGCTCACCGAGTCTTCGACGAGACGCCATTGAAGAACCTCGGGATCTGGAACGCGATGCTTAAAGCATGCGCGCAACACTCGGACGCTAAAGAAGTGATCGAGTTTTTCAAACGGATGAAACTCTCTGGAATGAAACCGAATTTCATCACTTTCTTGAATTTGCTCAACGCTTGTAGCCACGGTGGTTTGGTGGAAGAAGGAAGATACTATTTCGATCTGATGAAAGAGTCTAAGATCGAGCCGACGGATAAGCACTACGCTTGCTTGGTTGACACGTTGGCACGAGCCGGTAAGCTGCAAGAAGCGCTCGAGGTGATCAAGAACATGCCGATCGATCCAACGGAGTCGGTTTGGGGAGCTTTGTTAACCGGCTGCACGATCCACAAGAACACGGAGCTCGCAGCGTTTGCAGCGGATAAAGTGTTTGAGCTAGGACCAGTGAGCTCCGGTATGCACATTTCTTTATCCAATGCTTACGCAGCAGACGGTAGATTCGAAGACGCAGCGAGAGCGAGGAAGCTGTTGCGAGACAGAGGGGAGAAGAAGGAAACAGGGCTGAGTTGGGTTGAGGAGAGGAACAGAGTTCACACGTTTGCAGCTGGAGATAGACGACATGAGAAGAGCAAAGAGATCTACGAGAAGCTGGTTGAGTTAGGAGAAGAGATGGAGAAAGCTGGTTACGTTGCGGATACGAGCTTTGTGCTGAGAGAAGTTGATGGAGACGAGAAGAGTCAGACGATAAGGTATCATAGCGAGAGACTGGCGATTGCGTTTGGGCTGATCACGTTTGCGAAGGATAGGCCGATCCGTGTGATGAAGAATCTGCGTGTGTGTGGAGATTGCCACAACGCGATCAAGTACATGTCGGTGTGTACGGGACGAGTGATCATTGTGAGAGATAACAATCGGTTTCATCGGTTTGAGGATGGCAAGTGTTCTTGCAATGACTATTGGTGAATGACGACGAATCAGAGTTGGTTTCTTATTTTTTTAATCATCATTTTTCAGGATAGAATCATAAATTTATTTCAAACCATTATCATTTTGTTGCAATGTATATTCAAAATCAGAAATATTGAACCGGGGAAATTTCTTCTCAATTGGTTCGGGTCAGAATAGACCAGACGACTCGGATTTGGATGAAGTTTGAAACGAAACGAACTTTCTGGAATTCGTCACTTAAACGGTTTCTTCCACGAAACGACGTCGTATCGTGGAATAATCCAGAATCGACTGGCTTCATCGCATTCCAAAAAGAAGAGACTAGAACTTAGATTCCTCTCTATAAATCTCACTTTCTTCTTTCCTCCTTCCTTGTCTCTCAGATAATCATCAATCAATCTCTTCAAAAGCTCTCAAAGTTTTCGATTTCGTTTTTACAGTTTTCTCTAAGCATTCTCTTTTGCTTTTCGTCTGCGTTTAAACAAAAGTCGTTGCGATGGCGGAAGTTCAGATGGCTGATGCGGAGACGTTCGCGTTCCAGGCGGAGATTAACCAGCTTCTCAGCTTGATCATCAACACTTTCTACAGCAACAAGGAGATTTTCCTCCGCGAGCTCATCAGTAACTCTTCTGATGTATGTTTCCTTCAAATCTCTGCTCTACGATTCCTTCATCTCCCATTTTCCTGCATGTTTATTGTTTTGTTTCTTCGTTTCATTGATTGCTGATTTTCTGATTATGTTGGATTAGCACTGAATTTGGATACCAGTCGATTAGTTGAATCTGCATAGCGAGTCACTATGACTTGTGGCTCAAGTTAGTTTAGGATTTCTAGTCCTTGTTCGTCTCTCGATTCGTTAGTTTGGTGAGCGAATTGATTTTAGCTTTGCAAGCAGTTTTTGATTTAATTCTGGTGGATTCAATTCTGGGATACTCGTTCTTATCAATGGCTTATACGTTTGCCATTTCTCTTTGTTACTGAGATAATTGTCTGATTATGCTTGTGACTATGGATGTTTACAGGCTCTTGACAAGATCCGATTCGAGAGCTTGACCGATAAGAGCAAGCTTGATGGACAGCCAGAGCTCTTCATCAGGCTGGTTCCAGACAAAGCCAACAAGACGCTCTCGATCATCGACAGTGGCATTGGAATGACCAAAGCAGGTATCAATCTAAATTCCATTATCTTCTTCATTCTTGGTGCCGTTTTAGTGTTTGTGTGCTGTGGTTTTGACTCTTTTTAATCTTCAGATCTGGTGAACAACTTGGGAACCATTGCGAGGTCTGGAACCAAGGAGTTTATGGAAGCGCTACAAGCTGGTGCTGACGTGAGCATGATTGGTCAGTTTGGTGTTGGTTTCTACTCTGCTTATCTCGTTGCAGAGAAGGTCATTGTCACCACGAAGCACAATGATGATGAACAGTACGTGTGGGAGTCTCAAGCTGGTGGCTCCTTCACTGTCACAAGGGATGTGGATGGTGAACCTCTTGGTAGAGGAACTAAGATCACCCTCTTCCTCAAGGACGATCAGGTAATGAATGAATCCTAGTCCTCAGATTCTTCTCTTCTGTGTATGTTTGGTGTTTCTAATAAGTCTTTGTTCTTGCAGCTTGAGTATTTAGAGGAGAGGAGACTCAAAGACTTGGTGAAGAAGCACTCTGAGTTCATCAGTTACCCTATCTACCTATGGACTGAGAAAACCACCGAGAAGGAGATCAGTGACGACGAGGATGAAGAAGACGAAGCAAAGAAAGAAACCGAAGGCGAGGTTGAAGAAGTCGACGAGGAGAAAGAGAAAGACGGTAAAAAGAAGAAGAAGATTAAGGAAGTCTCTCACGACTGGGAGCTCATCAACAAGCAGAAACCGATTTGGTTGAGGAAGCCAGAAGAGATCACAAAAGACGAATACGCTTCCTTCTACAAGAGCTTGTCCAACGACTGGGAAGATCACTTAGCCGTGAAGCACTTCTCAGTGGAAGGCCAGCTCGAGTTCAAGGCCATTCTCTTTGTCCCCAAGAGAGCTCCGTTCGATCTCTTCGACACGAGGAAGAAGCTGAACAACATCAAGCTTTACGTCAGGAGAGTGTTCATCATGGACAACTGCGAAGAGCTGATCCCAGAGTACCTCAGCTTTGTGAAAGGCGTGGTTGACTCTGACGACTTGCCGCTCAACATCTCTCGCGAGACGCTTCAGCAGAACAAGATCTTGAAAGTGATCAGGAAGAATCTTGTGAAGAAGTGCATTGAGATGTTCAACGAGATCGCCGAGAACAAAGAAGACTACACCAAATTCTACGAGGCTTTCTCCAAGAACTTGAAATTGGGCATCCATGAAGATAGTCAGAACAGATCAAAGATCGCTGATCTTCTCCGGTACCATTCCACGAAGAGCGGTGACGAAATGACGAGCTTGAAAGATTACGTCACGAGGATGAAGGAAGGACAGAACGACATTTTCTACATCACCGGTGAAAGCAAGAAGGCGGTGGAGAATTCTCCCTTCTTGGAGAAGCTGAAAAAGAGAGGATACGAAGTGCTTTACATGGTGGACGCGATTGACGAGTACGCCGTTGGGCAATTGAAGGAGTACGACGGGAAGAAGCTCGTCTCCGCTACGAAAGAAGGTTTAAAGCTTGAAGATGAGACGGAAGAGGAGAAGAAGAAGAAGGAAGAGAAGAAGAAGTCCTTTGAGAATCTCTGCAAGACGATCAAGGAGATTCTTGGTGACAAGGTTGAGAAGGTTGTGGTCTCTGACAGGATTGTTGACTCGCCGTGTTGTCTTGTGACTGGTGAGTATGGATGGACTGCGAACATGGAGAGGATTATGAAGGCGCAGGCGCTGAGAGATAGCAGCATGAGTGGGTACATGTCGAGCAAGAAGACGATGGAGATTAATCCGGACAATGGAATCATGGAGGAGTTAAGGAAGAGAGCTGAGGCGGACAAGAACGACAAGTCTGTTAAGGATCTGGTGATGTTGCTGTTCGAGACGGCTTTGTTGACTTCTGGATTCAGTCTTGAGGAGCCAAACACGTTTGCTGCGAGGATTCACAGGATGTTGAAGTTGGGTCTGAGTATTGAAGAAGATGACAATGTTGAGGACGATGGTGATATGCCTGGGTTGGAAGAAGATGTTGCTGAAGAGAGTAAGATGGAGGAAGTCGACTAAGTGAAAGAAGAGACCTCTCTTGTGTTTCTGCTATGGTCGTTTTAAGTTGTGAGGTTTTATGTGTGTAGTCTTGAGGTCTTTCTAGTGTCTTTTGAACTCTTTGTTAAAGGTATTTTGCGGTTTGTGTCAAAATCTGTGTAAGCTGATAAGTCTGTTTGATACATAAGTTTTTCTGTATTCACTAAATTCGTCAGTAAGCTTCTATATAACAGCATGGATATGTAATGAGCTTATTGAAAAAAAAACAAAGTTTTCTCTGTTGTTTTGTGGTTCAAATTAATCTTTATAGAATTATAGTAGCTAAATCAATCATCACCCCCCTATGTGCCTACCTCACTTTAATGGTTATGCAAATTTTGATTCTTTTGAGTTCCAAACACAAATTGCCATCATATCTATTGAACACTGCCAAAAATAATTAAAACAAGGGGATCTTAAAATAACTTAAAAAAAAAATCCAAATGCTTGTTCTATTATTTATAATTATAGTTTTCCTTTACTTTTCATACGAATGAGCTTAATTATGTATTTTAATCATAACTAGTGTTCCCCTTTAAAAAAAAAAAAAAATGTTCCCCTCAATCCAATGTTATTTTGAGAGCTCAATGATTACGTAAATGAAATCTAACATGTTGTGTTACTCATATGTCTCGTAATATATTTTATGTAAATGTAATATAATATTCAAGGGATCTAGAATTCACGAATTCAATCTGCCATGAGCGCAGTTTTGTATAGTCTCTAGAGAAAGCACACAAGAAAGAAAAAGAAAAAAAAACAGTTTGAAAGGTCTGAGAAAGTGGAATAGTAAACCTTTACTGGAAATTGTTCAAGGAGTGGTGAGGATGCAGGTGGACTTGGCTGCTTCATTCACAGATCTGATGCTTTTCTTCTTCCTCCTCTTTAGGGCCATGACCATTATGGTCTGGTTCTCATCGCCGACGCAATCGGCGTCACCCAATTTTTGCTGCGATTTCTTCTTAGTCGCCTTCTTTCGCTTGCTCGATTTCCGTTTCGGTTTGGCCACCGCTGGAGTAAGTCCGCCGGAGTTGATGATCTCGAGGGAGGTGAGACAGCATTCCTGCCATTTGAGAGTTTCGATGTCGGTTATCACTTCGTCGAGCGTTGGGGAAGCCGATGGCGGCGAGACTGCGATTTGTTTCAGAGTCGAGCGAGAGAGATCTAGTAGATCAAGTGCGTCCACAGCTTCGCCTACAGTTCTCTGGTAAAAATTCCGATCGATGTAGCAGCAGAAAAAAACAAAATGAGAACCAAATTGACGGAATCAAATCGGATTCCAAGCTTTCAAAATCGATTCAAACAAAAAGAAGAAGGATGGAATTTCGGAAATCTGGTTCTCAATTTCTAGCGATTCAAAGCAGGGATTTAAGAGATGATCGGTGGTTGTATTGTATGTTACCTTGTTGGTTTTGTGGAGCTTTCGGAAACCGTGCATATGAATGATCTGGAGAGAAATCGAAAAGCACGAGTCGAGGATTAGAAACACTGAGGAGGAGAATCAGATGGAGATCAGGGAGGGAAATCGTTTTGAGAAACCTGATTGAGGTAGGAGATGGTGAAGTCGATGGACTTGTCAGAGACGAAGAAATCGACGTATTCTTCCAGAGATATCTTCTTCTCTCCTCCCAGCTTCAATCTCGTCATTTTTCTTCGTTTCTCTTTTTTTCCAAGCTATCTGTGTTTGTTGGGAGAGGAGGCGGCGAAATATATAGAGAAGCTAGTACAGTCAAGTTTCAAATTCAGCAGCGAGTGATAGCGAGAGTTCGGTTATTAATTCGAAAAGACGGAAATACCCCCGCCCCCCTCTGTAAAACGAGAACAATTATCGTCTCCAAATCTGCGTTTGCGAACTGTCAAAGACTCAAAAGTTGAGATTAAATTATCGGATAATATTAATATTACACTCTTTTTGTGTTTGGAACGGGACTACTATCATAGTTCTCCAATTTAGGATAAAATGACCATTGAATCAAAGTGGTCAGAGTTAAAAAAAAATGGGAGTAATATGATAGTGTGAAATGTATGAAAAGATAATAAAGGAAAATTTGCAAGTATGATTACTGAATGTAGTCAAATCCTACTTGTTCAAATGCTCGAAGGAAACGAAAATTTTAAATCCGAAGAAAGACTAAACTCTGATAGAGATCGATGGATTCCGGAATTTGAATTACAAAGAAGCACAATTTAAAAACGAAACAACTCCATGGTTCTTCCTGTCGGCTAAAATCCTTTCTTTTTTCAAGGTAACCCCGAGCCAGATGGTGCAGCAGCACCGTAGGCACCAGCACCACGGCCAAAACCACGGCCACTTCCCTGCACGACAAGAAACCAAACAACAAAGAATGTGTTAAAACAATGGCAACCAAAAAAGACAAGGCAATTAGAGACTGAAAGGTTAATGGATAAGCAACTAGGTTCAGGAGCTCTATGCTAAAGACATAGCCAGAAGTTAAGTCAGTGAGAATTTACCTGGAAAGATGGCTGGTAATCTGCTGGAGCTCCACTCTTATCACCTCCAATGTCACCACCACGAGGACCTCCACGGTACCCATCACGGTCACCAAACCTGGGACGGTCTCCTCCCTCAAAGCGAGGAGGACCCCTTCAACACCAAGAAACAACAAAACCATGTCAACTTAAAGCAATGAAACAAGCTTTTTTGTTTGCCAGATATGTAATGAGTGAAGCAAAGAGTTAAGCACCTTGGGCGATCACCAGGTGGGCCACCAAATGGACGCCCGAGAGGCTTAGCTGATTTCTTCAAGGTGGCGGGCACAACATCAGACGGAAGGTTCAGGTAAGTTCTCAAGAACTCGATGCCTTCGTTGGTCAGAAACCAGTAGTAGTGCATCCATGCGAATGTCTCCCTAACGTACTCCTTGGATTTGAAACTCTGCATGAGCTTGATCACTTGCAAGTTGGGAACGGACTCGATCAACGGGTGCTTAGCGAGATTGAAATCCTTCTTGGCGAACAACACTCCTTCTGCAAAAGCCAAGAGAAACATGATTTAATCAACACAATCTCTTCATCTTCCAGTCAGCTTTAAGGTCACAAGACAAACACCATAAGAGCTAGCAAAACAGCTCATGATTCTAAATTTGCTATAATTAAGCCTGAATGCGGATTTCAGAGTTCTAAGATAACCAGATTCGGAACCTGGACTACATAAACTAATTCTAAGATCACAATTGTTCATCACTACGCGAAAATGGAATAAACCCTAAGAATGATTGGCAGAAGCTGAAGCAGTCAAGAGCATTTACTGATACAAACATCAAAGGAACAGAGAAATGGTACACAATTTCACGAAACACGAACCTTTGAAAAGGTACTTGCAGATTTCTCTGCGGTTTTCCTCGGTGATAATCTGAGAGCAGGAAGAAGAAGAACAAAATGGTTAAAATCCACCGAAACAACATCACAACGCACCTCAAAATACGATGAGAACAGAGAAATAGATCAAAATTAGAGCTCATGTGTACCATTGTCTCGGGTGGTAGATCTTTCGCGAGCAGATAGACGCACAGAAGTTCGCGAGAGAGTAAAAAAGGCTAGGGTTTCACCGGAACGGAGAAGGCGAAGATTTTATAGCTTTGTTTTGGGCTAATTATAATGGGCTGTAAATTCATCAATTATGGGCCTTAAATTTGGGCTGTCTGTAACGAAAGGTTTAACCAATTATATGGGTGTTCACACCGGGATTCGATTCTTCTGAAAATTGAATTCTTTAAACCGGGTTTCGGTTAACTTTTCTTTCTCTTTATTCATTGTTGTCTTTCAGTCTAGACAAAAAAGCTCATAACAATATAACTCAAGTTACTACACTGTACATAAACGGTAAACCATCCATATTCCAAAAGACGTATATATATTTATACTCTAAGAACAACAAAAGAAAAGAAAAACTAAACCATGCCAGCTTCATCTTCTTCATATCTACAAGCAAAAACCCACAAGAGAATCTCTGTAGATTACTATTTCAGTAGCCACATCTGAATTTAGCTAACTTGAGGACTGAGACACTTCATACACTTCTATTATTAACTTGAGGTAGAGATTTCTGGTGCTTCTTTGTTTAAGGTTTTACTCACTCCACCATGATCACTTGTTGCTGTCTCCGACCCCATATCATAAGACGAAAGAAGCCGTCTCTGTTGTTTCAAAACCAATTAAGAGTTTTTATGTTAGTTTTGATTTGTTAAAACTGTCTTAGTAGTAGTAGTAGTTTGTGAAGCGAAGGTACTTACATGATCCTCAAAATCAGGACTAGACAAGTTGATGGATAGATTTCTCATCAATAGTAGCACCTGCTTGGTGGGGAAAAGGGCAAACAAAGTGAACAAGGATTAGGTTTTTATCATTTGTTCCATTGGACCGAATTGAGATTAATGTAAAAAAACTGAAAAGACAAGAAACCTACTGTTTCGACATCTATGGGGTCCATCTTTTTCAGCTTTTGCAGATGGTTACTGGCATGTGGGTCAAACACACTTCCAATGAAGCTGTATACTTGTGCAAAGTCCGGTAAAACTGAAACATAGAAAATCAAACTTTCTCGTAAGAAATGGTAACCATACAGTACAAAACAAAATCATAACCATGTAGCGATGCTTACCTCTTAATGAATGGCCAAGATTTCCCTGTTCATTTGTGTCCCTGTTCGATCGTGGTCTCGGAGTATTTTCAGAACTACTAGAACAGTTGTTATTCGCTCCTGCTCCTGCGTTTCCATCCGAACAATATGCTTCATTTAGTAAAACTTGAACAAGACGCTATATTAAGAGAGTGACAGTGATTGCTTGTGAGATGAGAATAGAAACCTTTTGGGAGGGGAGTGAAGCTAATTGTTTGCACATTATTTGTCCATGGAGCCGCAGCAGCGGCAGTGGTTGGAGAAGTCATCAGCATCGAAGAAGACTCAGGCCTATACATAAAAGTAGGGTTGTTTTGTTCAGGTGTTGATTTGTAGGACCCTGGAACATGAGGTTGCACTGCACATTGCCATAAAAAATTAAAAAATTGCATCAGTTTAGTTTCTCAATACGCAAACAACATCACATATTGCAGTAGCTATTACGTACCGTTCTTGTGAGCCTTTTGAGGATATGGATGAGCGGCTTTCCTTTTCGGTCGAGGGGGTGGAAGATGTTCACCAGTCCCACTCTTTTGCACCTTAAGAAAATACTTCTGAGCATGACTTCTTATCTGCGATATCATATGAATCCGTATAAGAAACCGAAACAGAGTTTAGGTCTAATGCAAGAAAATCTCAAGACTACACTTGAATAAACCTCAGAGCAACAAAAGCATGTGCCACTCTTGCTCCGAACAGATAACAAACAACTGTAGTAGTAACTCAGAAGATTTCTTTTTTACTGCACCTGAATCACAGTCTTTGAACCAATAAAAGCTTCAATCTTCTTCCAGTCTCTGTCAAACCTAGAATGATATAAACATATAAGCATAAGGGATATCAGATCAAATGCCAAACAACCTACATATAGGACTGTATGCATCACAATACGCATCGGAGTACGAATATGAACAGTACCACCATCAAGTATTGAAGATAAAACAATCCATAGTCTCCACAAACAACTTAACCCAAGATCCTTCCCACTATATATCTACACCAACCTTAGTATTTCAATTTCTCAATAACCGGTGTTTATAGACTACTGTACCAGAAAAAAAAGCATCTACATATTCACTATTCAGCTTCACTAACACACAAATAACTTCCATAGATGATCATATAACATCTCGGCTCATCCCAATTTCAGTAGCTATTACTCATTTACATGACATTCATTCTCAATGGCTTATCAGACGCCTGATTCAATAAAATGTGAAAAACATAGAAAACTCTCAATCCCAATTCCATTGGAATCTTATATTGCGCATAACCCCAAATAGACCCTCAACGCATGTTCACTGAATTTCACTTCTTCCACCAGAAATTGACAAAACGAATAATAAAACCCTAATTCAGCAAAATTGCGGCTAATTCTCGCCGAATCGAAGCTCAAAATGGTTCAAAACCAAAGGAATTAACGAGAAATGGTAAGCTCAAATGATGAGATTACTCACAGCTGAAGAGCTTCGAGGAATTTGTCGTGCTCAGGCTCCGTCCAGCTCTCTCTCGACTTGGTGATGGTATAAGGCTTCCTAATCTTCTTGCTGAGATCCTCCACCGAAGAAACCGTCCCCGCCGCCGCATCCGTCACTGCCACGGCGGTGGAAGAAGTCGTCGGGGAGGAGGATACGGCGGCGGTGAACGGTCCAATTGCAGGAACGGTCATACCGTCCGGATCCAAGAAAAATCCATCTGCAGTATTCGGATTTCGAGAGACCATGGAGAATTTTGGGGGCTCTGTTGGGTTTATTCGACTTTTTTGATCGTTGAAAGCTGTGTACAGAGAAATGTGGAGGAAGACGGCAGAGATATATATGTATGTATGTATAGGCGCATTTGTGTCTCACAAAGAAACTTGTTTTTTTGTAGTCTTGTGATTAGTCTTTGAGGTCGGTACCTTTGCCGTAGCTTTGAGAGCTAGTTAAAACGTGCCAGGTGTCCACGTTTTTTGGAAATTTGTTTTCTTTAAAATAAAGTTTTATTTTATTTCCTTTAATGTTTTGCACCCGTTCATACCAAAAAAGGGACTTTTTATGAAAGAAACAATAGAATTAGAAGTAGAACTAGTAGAGTACCCGCACGTTTGTGCGGTGTGACGTTGTTGTTTTGTGTAGAAAATTTAAACCCTAAATCCGAACCCGACAAAAAACCCTAATCAAAAAATTTAAAAACCCAAACTTTTTTAATAGGTCTAAACATGAAAATCCGAAATCAAAAAAATCCCGAAAACCCTGACTGAACAAAAAAAATCTGGAAACTTTTTCACCCGGAACCCGACCCCAATACCTAATCAAAATTTTAAAATACTCAATTTTTTTAATATATCTAAACCCGAAAACCAGAAATCTAAAAAATCCGGAAAACCCTAAACTGAAAAAAAAATTGAACCTAACCCGAACAGAAATTTTCAAAGAAACCCGAACAATTTCTATATCTCTATATATATCTCTATAAAATTATGTCTCAGATTTTCACCCAAACCCGAACTTGTCTATAAAAACCCGAAAATCCAAAAAGCATATTCTATTGATTTGGAATTATCGTTAGATTATGTTAAGTTTTCTTTTTTGCAGATTTTTAAGAGATGGAAAACGGAAGTTTTCTAAACCATCGGTTTATTTTAAGTTATTATTCTTGTATCCAAACAATTTTTTCCATTTATTCTTCTATCCAAATAGATTTTTCTCTTATTCTTATATCCAAACAACTTTTGTTTCCATTTATTCTTCTATCCAAATAGATGTTTCTCTAATTCTTGTATCCAAACATTAGAATGTACTTCTCAATTAATAATATAAAGATTCAACAGATCATCTATGATAAACCCATTCTAATTACCCAATTTGTATGTATCTGTTTTGAACTAAGAGCAATTAGGTATTTAGCCCATTAAGTAACATTTATATGTCCAAATATTAGCGTTTCTTCTGCTTTAGCCTACTTGTGCTGTAGGCTTTAGCTTATCGCCATTTTTTTTTCCTTTGACTGATTTGTCCACAAGAATCTTATTATATAAAGTTGGATGCGCGCGACGTGGTTGCGACATGTAGGATTTTTATAAAATATAAGATCGCGACATGTGTCACTTTTAATATTATGTCCGTTAAGATCGTGACACATGTCTTGAAAAAAGGAAAAAAATTAAAGGGAAAATTTTAATATCTTATAATAAAAACGAAAATTTATATAATAAATTGAAAATATTGTAATAAAAAATTCCTATTAGTATATGTAATAGGTATATAAACTAAATATCATAATTGTATGAAATATAAGTTACATAAACACCTATTTAAAAAAGTCCTATTAATACATGGAATAGGTATGTAAACTAAATATCCTAAAACTGTATGAAATTGGTTACATGAACCCCTATAAAAAGAGAGCTAATGTAGTCTCTTTTTCTCATTCAAAAACTCTTCAAAGCAAATTCAGCAAATCTCTTTGATTCTCTTTCTCAATTTTTAAAATCATGTCTTTGAAAGTTCAAGAGAACATTGGATATTATTTGACTCTAGGTCAATTGTACCATATACCAACTCACTATTACGAAATTTCGGAGATCAGATGGCCGAAGAAAACATCATCGAAATTTATAACTTTAATGTGCAGTCTGCTGATAAAAAAACTTATAAAGTTTCCAGCCATCAATCTTTTATAAGAATAACAGAAAGAACGAAGATCAATTGTATCAGTCAAAGTATCAGTCAAAGTGCCTGCCAGATACGGTTGGAAAAATTTCGGCTTCGGACTTACGAAGATTATGTCAATCTTTAGTATAAGACCGTCGACTTATACGATATTTACTTTTGTTCTCATGCTATAATTTAATTAATTTCCATAGTTCTCATGCAGTGTTACGTAAGTAATCATATTAATCAATCCCTAACAAAATAATTATCAAGCAAGTAATTAATTTTAAGAAAATATAATGAACCGATATTCTAATTTTAAACAGTTTAATTTTCAATATTGTTAGGTAAAAAATTATTTATGAAATATTTCATCAAGCAATTGAAATCTCTTGAATAGAATAATAAAGTTTTGTTGAATTAATCAGTTGATCAGATTTAGACATATATAAGTCTTTCTATATTGGAAAAAAAAATTAATTAATTCATTTTTCATATCATGAATTCAAAACAAATATCAATTATACTAAATATTTTTATCGGGTTTTTAATATTATTCTACTTACTTTAAAAATAATCAAATTTTGTTAAATATTTTTCCATGTTTTTATTACAAAATATTAAAATAAACCCGCATATACGCGGGCCTTAATCTAGTTCATAATGATGGTTTACTTTGGTTTATATTGCATGAATTGTTAAGTATCCTTTTTCTGACAGTTCGAAACTCCCTTGTCGTCGGAAGTTGAAAAGGTGTTGTCGTGTTGATGGGGTTCCATTTTTTTGTTAGTCTTTGGAGAAGCTATAGGTGCTATATTGATGAAGTTTTGAGGATTGGCCTATGATGGGAGTGCTCGTGGCAATTATGATGAAGACTTAAGTTACACGAAACATTGGCAACAATGCAAAATTTTGGGATCTATGTTTGGAATTGGTGTTTCTACTCTCGGATCAACTCGGTTTGGTGTATGTTTAGCTTGTCGCTCGAGGCTTTCTATTATACTGTTTTAATCAGATATTTTCTTGTAGTTTTTGGGTTTTTCTGCCTTCTCGTTACTACTATAATTTATGTCAAAAACTGAAAAAAATTGGTATAAAATCTTTACATTTTAACAAAAAAAAAACCAAAATATCCTTTTGTAATTTGTAAACTTTGTACTATCAATTTGGATTTTCGAAGGTTTTGAGGTGGGAGACCCTTCTCAAAGGGCAAAAAGCGAAAGACAAATAAAACCTTCACAAAAAGTTCAGGAGATGCAATGGATCATGGCAGGAGGGCGAAGAAACAGAGGTTGTGGCGGTCGAGGAGGCCGCGGATCACCATCTTAGGAGTCTCTAGAGAGCCATCTCTAGTTTTTCTTTTATTCTCTTTAGTTTTCTACTCTGCCGTAGAATTCTAATTTTCTTAATCAACTTTATCGAACTACTAGATTAGGCTCCGTGTATATGCGGGTTTATTTTTTATTTTTATTTTTAAATCATGAAAGAATATTAAACAAAATTTGATCAATTTTAAAAATAAGAAAATAAAATTAAAACCCGATAACAAATCTCTAAATAAAGATATCTAGTCTTTTACATTTTTATTTTTAATTCATGATATGAAATAGAAAGATTTACATGTGTCTAAATCTAATCGACTAATTATTTTATGAAACTTTGATTATTCAAATCTTTATTTTTAATATTTTTTAGCTATCAAAACATAGAAAATAAACTATTTAATATTAGAAGATCAGTCCATTATAAAATTTTATTTTTTAATCTTATTTAGTTTTTTTGTTAGTTTTCTATTTATATTGTTTCTTTTTTAATTTTTGTTTTTGCCTCTGACCATTATAAATTTTCATTTTCATTATTAGTTAGTTATTTTAATATTATTTTATTAATTTATTTATTTATGTTACTACATTTTTTCAATTTTCTTGTGTTGACATATGTCATCACTTCATCAAATATTAGACACATGTATCTATCTAAAAAGTATTCATTTTCGTAATGGGAATATGTTTTTTATTCCTTTTCTTATGAGATGTAACATTTTTTAATTATTTTTTCTTTTTTATATGGGGTTCATATAACCAATTTCATACAGTTTTAGGATATTTAGTTTACATACCTATTACATATACTAATAGGATTTTTTTAAATAGGAATTTATATAACCTATTCTATACAATTTTAGGATATTTTTAGTTTTCATACCTATTCCATATACTAATAGGAATTTTTTTATTACATTATTTTCATTTTATTATTTAAAATTTCGTTTTTATTATAAGATATTAAAATTTTCCCTTTAAAATAAAAATTTCTTTTTTTCAAAGACATGTATCACGATCTTAACGGATATAACATTAAAAGTAACATATGTCGTAATCCTATATTTTATAAAATTCCTACGTGTCGCAATCATGTCGCGCGTATCCAACTTTATATAATAATATATGACCCCAAAGTTATATTTTTATAATATTTTGTTTATGCATTTAATTTGAAAGCCCTTTTACAAAAATATATATATATATATATATATAAATAATATATATATATATATATATATATATTAATATATATAGATATTTGGATTTTCGAACCGAACTAGAAATTAACACATGCTGTTTGAAGAAAAAGAAAAAGAAAAAGTTAAAGTTCGATAAGTATTTTTTTTTTCGCGAACCAGAATAGGATAAGTATAACCTTTCAACTTAAGAAACGCAATGACATTCTTCATAGATCAACCTCTCTTCAATGTTTTCTTGAACTTTAACCATTTAGTTAATCTTATGCATCAAAATTATGAGGTACAAAAAAAAAAAATGTTCTCTTAAACCTATTCTAATTTTCTAACTAATCATTATCCAAAACAACTCAACTTTATAAAAATTTATTTATGTAACTGATTATACGAAGTTGATATTTAATTTCATGACATTTCACGTTTGAAGAAGTTGTGAAGTTCTTTATTTTATCCTCATGCGGTTAATTAAATCTTTCATACATATATAAGTTATGGCACGGTGTTAGTTGAAGTGAAATACTAAACTAAAGAGGAGCAGCCACACTTTTTTCTAACCATCTATTCTTAGTATATTATGTTTTAGAATTTTGCTTTGTTGTAGAATGGGTTTATTATAGTGGAGCATACACACATTTCTAACCAACTACATTAGTTGAAGGCACTAAACTAATCGAACTGTCATTCTTCATTTCTTTTATGTTAAAGATCTGATGAAAAATATCTTTCAACCAGAAAGAGTTAATCGTAGGAACAAAACGTACCACCTTCTAACCATCATCTTAATATGTAGAAAAGACTCAAGAAAATTATATTTTAACCATCTATACAATTTTGTCTAGGGGTGCCAAGTCCGAAGTAATTCAATTTTGCCTAGGGGTTCCCAAATAGGTAATATTGGACTTTTTAATATGACAAACTATTCGGTTTTGGCTCGAAGGGAATCCAATGCCAATGTCGGTAGCTTGTACAAAACTTGTACAAAACTAGTATGAAATAGAATTTACATAATACACATTATGTAATGTAGTCATTGATGAATTTGTATCTACATTGGAGTGTTGTAGTATTATCAGTTATTTGTGTGAGATATGTGAAGCATTTTTTTTTTTAATCAATCTAGAGTTTATCAATGCTCTTTTGTCTCCTACGACAGTAATAATCAAATACACAGCTAAACGTTTAGTGATTTAGAGATTTACACTACCCTGTTGCTTCATTGGCTCTGTGATCTATCCCGTTTAATTTGTTTTTTTTCCTCCTCACCGTTGAACACATACTGTAAAAAGGAGTGTATTTAACAACAGCAAATTCCATTGAAATTGCAACAAGAAACAGTAATACGTTAATAAGGCTTCTGAGGGATGAAGAGAGAGTACTACTAAGATAAGATAAAAACAGAGAAGAAGAAAATTAGAACATTCCTTAAACAAACAAAAGTCATACTACTCATAATAATGTCTAATAATAGTGGTAGACTGAAAGCAATGACGATGATGGTGATGATGAGAGACTCATCAACCATGGGTGCTGTGGGTTTTGATAGAGTGAGCAAGGTAGTTCTTATGCAAGATTTTGCAAGTGACAACATCTTTCTCTTTGAGCTTGTTCCTTCTCCTGACCGCCATGTCAGCGCGGGAGAGATGGCCATGTGGCTTCTTCCTCTCAGAGTTTTCCCTCTTTTCTCATTTAATCGAACAAAAATTCAGATATAATAGACTCTTTTCTTCTCCGGCGAGATTGGAATCAACTTGATTGATCGATTCGATGCCTCCAAGTTCCCGACTCGATTCGGTGGTCAGATCCGTGGGTTTAGCTCCAAAGGTTACATCGATGGGAAGAATGAGTGTCGGCTTCACGATTGTTTGAAGTATTGCATTGTCGCTGGAAAAAAGGCTCTTGAGATTGCAAATCTCCGCGGTGACAAGCTTCACACGGTACATTTTCACTCCTCGCTATCTTAGATTGATCGATTTCAATTGTTCTGATTCGTCTTCGGCCGAGCCAGTTCTATCTCCTCCGCAACATCCGGCGGTTTCACCGATGCTTTAGCCGAATATAAGCAGATTTGCTGCGAGATTACCCATTTCTGGGTTGGGAGTTTCGCTGCTCTCGAGTGGTAAAGAGAGGAACAGACAACTCTTGTCAACTTTCGAGAGATCAAAATCATAATTTCATACCAACGGGAAAGAGCTCCGAGTTCCGGTGAATTGTTGCCGGAGAGGTTTTAGGGAGATCACAGAATCGGGAAGATACGGAAAGCCCTAATTGCCCGCTCAAGGGTTTAAGGGAATCAATTCAGTGAGACAGTGAAAGAGCGAGTCACCGGAAAATGCTTTGCAGTGACAGTGATAAACTGATAATACTTTACTTTATATAGGTTTGGTCTTTGGGCTATTATTTTAGCTTAATAGGCCCAAAGTAAAATATTGGCCCATGTTTTTTCTTTGGAAGTTTGGAGTATATACAAATTGGCAACAACAACAAAAAACACAAATAATAATGTATACATACTGTATATTATTGTTTACGTGTATGACTCGACGATCCTCTGTATTTTTTTATATATGTTAATTATAAACATGTACTCACAACTTCATGCTTTGACCAGTCAAAACAGAGAATAGCTCGAAGAAAACTTTTGAAACATCAAATGTCGTAATCTCCATAATTATCTTATGGCTCATACCTCAATGTGTTCAAGTTTATATACATAGAGGCTAAGAGGCAGAGAGAGAGACGGAATTTGCTGAATGTTCTTACAAGTTTTGTATATAATATTGATTCTTACAAGTCTTTGTTACGCAAACAAGGAATATATATAGAGCGTTTTTATATTTTAAGACGTGTACGTAGATTAGATGAACCATGAATTCAGAAAAAAACATTGACGGTTAATAACGGTCATGCTTAAATATCTATATTTATATATATATGTGTGTGTGTGTGTGTGTGTGTGTGTGTGTGTGTGTGTGTGTGTGTCCAAAAACAATTGATACCAAGCTGACTTATTACATCCAACTTCCATATTCAGATTAGTCTGGGATTTTGACCATTTTGTTTTGTTAAAGCTGAGATTTTGACCAGTGTTTAAAATTTGTTAGTAAAACTTAAAATCTTGTTTTTCATGTTGGATTTCCTTCAATGTAAGATCATTTTACCAAGAAAATGCAAAAGTTTGGATAAATTTTCATTATTAGTGAAGTAGTGTTCGTATTTACAATATTTATTTTCTGACGTAATTCTCAAGTTTTCAGCCATTTCACTTAACTTTTCATACTTATGCAATAATAGCCACCGGGGACCTTATAACTTTGTGGCTTAAATGTTTTCTATGCCAACCACATTTAACCAAAAAAAAAAAACTAGCCTCAGTCCATCAATTTGTTGAAAAAAAATTCCGCACCAACTGATTGAATTTAATTCATAAATCGTTAATTTGCATGAAGT